TAGGTGGTCCAGTACAGGTGGGAGAATAGGCTGGGAGCGGAGAGAAATGCTTGAGTGAAACACTTAGGAAAGTATTAGTTATTTTTGAGCAAAATAGTAACATAAAAGAACAATTGGGCAATGGTGACTATATCCCAGACTGATATACATTTTCTATAGTACTTATTACCTTCAACATGTTAGGCAGAGTACATTTTTACTAATCTTCTTGTTTATTGCCTGTTAGAATGTTAGCTCCCAAGAGGGTAAGGATCTGCAATGCCTAGAACAGTGATGCTCAAGATTTACTGAATAATTACTATTTTCAAATTTGTCTCAAGACCAAAAATGTTTAAAATGTCAAATCCTTAAAAGTGAGCTATTGAAAAGTAACTAAATTTCTCTCTATTGAAACTCATCTGCCTGATAATTTTTTAAAAAGCCCTGACAGAGAAAACAATGATTTGGTTGGGAAAATGCTGGTCACAGCAGTATTGGGAGGAGTCATTTTATACTGACAGGGAAGTGGTAAACCATACTAGGTGTGAGAATAAGTAGGAGTTGGGAAAGACCAGTGTTGACTTCTCTTCAGGAACCACTAATTCTTTTTCCCCTAAATAAAAATGCAGTGAAGAATGGCCAGTCAGCATCTTGAATTTAGTTGCAAACACTGGTCATTTGGCACAGTGTAACATAGCCTCAAAGCATGCTTAAATTCTAAAAATTTAGTCTATTATCTTACATTTAAACTCTAAGTAAGGGTGTGCGTGCACATGCTAACACAAAAGCACACATCACTTAGTGTAAATAAGAACAGTCTGCCTACATACAGATGCTGCTGCTCATCGCCACCTATGGGGTATGCACTTGTTTTTCCAACATGGCCATGGATAAGTGCCAGCCATGTTTCCTTGGCAGGTCCCTTTGTACATCTGGTATGAATTTGTAAGAGAGCTGCCTTGTCATTACTGGGTGAACCCACCTCTTCCTGATGCTTCTCCCCTTCCCCCTGATGCCACAGTACACTGAAATACTTTAACTATGTCTGTAATGTTACTATTTACCCAGCATCATATTAAGTGGGAAATGGATATTTATGCCTCAAATGTGTAGTAATATTTAAGTTTTATAAATAACTAATGCAATAAGAGTCTGACCAAGGATGATACTGGAGGGGTTCAGAAGAAGTTGTCCCAAAATATGCCACTTTGACATATTGATTACTTTGAATTAAGGTACTTGAGAAACAGCTAATGCAAGAAGGACACTTTGTCTGTTGTCCTCCTGAGAGTAGGAGATGCATCTCCCATGTTAAAGGTATCCTTCCTGTACCAGGAGGGTAGAGGGCATTCTTATCATCAGAGACAGGGAATTTGGGGCCAAGAAGGTTGTAGAAACAAACCTTGTTACTTGTTCACCATGTTAATAACCCTAGCCCAAATCTCGTCTTGTCAATTATTCACAAGTGTATTGTTTTCTTGTCTACACAGTATAAAAGCTTCCTCCTTTGGTCATTTCTTTGAGTTTTATTTATTTGTTGGGCTCTTGTATATGTATATAGGTTTATATATAATTAAACTTGCTTATTTTTTTGTGTTAATATGTCTTTTATTACAGGGACAGAGGAGTTCTGTCCCTGTCTTTTATTACAGGGACAGAAACTAGATGGGGAGAGGGAAAATAGTTTTTCTCCCCTACAATACTTCATACATTGAAAATCCCACACAATGGGTCAAGTTATCCTCTTCAGGTATGAAGTACCCAGCACCTTGCATCTGTTAACTTCCATAGGCCCCCTGTCCACCCTTTGTTGCCCTATCTCTTTCCTGGAGGACTACCCTGAGTGGACCATGTCTGCAGGCTCTATTGACTAACTCCTTTCCAAGAAGAGTTGGCCTTTGGGGATCCTCAGCAAGACATTCAAGAATGGAGAGGTGAATCAGGACAAGGAGACCATTCTTCTGATAAGAGATGATGATGATGGATGGTACTAGGTGATGGTGAAGATGATGAGCCATGGTCAAATTCTGGATATGGTGAAAGTAGAGCATGCAGGGTTTGCTGACAGAATTTGTATTTGTGAAAGGCAAGAGAAAGGAAGGGTGCTCATGTTTTGGCCTTAGCAACTGGAAGGAGAGAGTGAAAGTGGTGGAGACAGGGACTTCCAGTCAAGATGGCTGCGTAGGTAAATGCGGTATCGCGTCCTCCCATAACCACATCAAAGTTATAACTAAACTACAGAACAACCAGCATTCAAAGATGCCTGATTTCAAGCTAAATGGAAGTCCTACAACTACGGAATTAACGAAGCAACTGCGAGACTGGTAGGAGGGGCAGAGGGGGACGGGTTGGTCCCACACCCATGTGTGGAAGATGAAAACCAGGAGGACACCTCAGCTGGGAAGGTCCTCCCTGAGGACTGAGGGGTCCCCATCCCACACGAGGCACCCTGCTCAGGGTTCCAGTGCCAGGAAGGGAAGTCCCCATAACTTCTGGCTGGAAAAACCAGCAGGAACTGAGGCTCAGGGAGGCTGAGGTGGCTAGAACCCCAGGCAGCTCCTCTTAAAGGGTCCACGCACAGACTTATTGGACTTGCTCCCTCTAAGGTTGGAGGGGAGGCAGCTCGAGGGGCACCAGAGACATACAGGGAAGAACTGAGCTGTTTGGCACTGGAGCAAGGGCTGGAGAGGGGGGCTTTCTCTGGGACAAACGTACTGTCAGAGGCCTTTGTTCCTTTGGTGAGCCTTTCCCTGGGCCGGCAGACACCCACCATATCTGTGACTCCAGCAACCTGGCTCACACTGTTTGCCCCACCCTGGTGATTCCCTGAGGCTCTGCCCCGCCCCACCCAACTTTCAGACCCACCCAAGCTGTTGCCAGTTGCTTAACCATAGGATTGGCCTGTCTTGGATCCTGCTTCAGGTTTTCCTAAATTCTTTCAAACAAGCAACATCTGGTCTCAGCTAGCCCCATACCTCTCATTAAGTAATACATAGAAACAAAGACAGGGAGGCAGCCAAAATGAGGAGACAAAGAAACAGGTCCCAAATGAAAGAACAAAACGAAACTCTAGGAAAAGAACTAAATGAAATGGAGATAATCAACCTAACAGATGCTGAGTTCAAAATATTGCTTATAAGGATGCTCAGTGAACTTAGTGAGGGCCTCAAGCGCATTAAAAAGGACCAGTCATAAATGATGGATACACAGTCAGAAATGAAGGAGGCACTAAGTGAAATAAAGAATAATTTACACGGATTCAATAGTAGAGTAGGTAAAGCCAAAAAGCAAACTGTCAATTTGGAATACAAGGAAGCAAAAACACCCAATCAGAACAGTAAAAAGAAAAAAGAATCCAAAAAAATAAGGATAGTGTAAGGAGCCTCTGGGACAATTTCAAGTGTGCCAACAGTCGCATCTTGGGGGTGCCAGAAGGAGAAGAGCAAGAACAAGAAACAGAAAACCTATTTGAAACAATAATGGCAGAAAACTTCCCTAACTTGGTGAAGGAAACAGACATACAAGTCCAGGAAGCACAGAGGGTCCCAAACAAGATGAACCCCAAGAGGCCCACACCAAGACACATCATCATCAAAATGCAAAAGGTTCAGACAAAGGGAGAATCTTAAAAGCAGCAAGAGAAAAGCAGTTAGTCACCTACAAGGGAGTTCCTATTAGACTGTCAGCTGATTTCTCAAAAGAAACTTTGCAGGCCAGAAGGGAGTGGCAAGAAATATTCAGAGTGATGAAGAGCAAGAACCTACAACCAAGATTACTCTATCCTGCAAAGCTGGCATTTAGAATCAGTGGCCATATAAAGAGTTTCCCAGACAAGAAAAAGTTAAAGGAGTTCATCACCACCAAACCGTTATATGAAATGCTGAAGGGTCTTCTTGAAGAAAAAGATAAAAAATATGAACAAACAGCCCTGGCCGGTTTGGCTCAGCGGTTAGAGCGTCGGCCTGCGGTCTGAAGAGACCCGGGTTTGGTTCCCGCTAAGGGCACGTACTTCGGTTGCAGTTTGTCCCCGGCCCTGGTTGGTCGTGCGGGTGGCAGTTACTCGATGTGTCCCTTTCACGTCGATGTTTCTCTCTCTCTCTCTCCCTCCCACTCTATCTGTACAAAAATTGGAAAAATGTCCTCGGGTGAGGATAAAAAAAATATATATATATGAACAAACAAAATGGCAATGAACACATATCTATCGGCAATGGAATCTACAAACAAAATGAACAGGCAGAACAGAAACATTCTCATAGATACAGAGAACATTTTGTTGTTTGCCAGATGGGAGGGGGGATGGGGGAATGGGTGAAAAAGGTGAAGGGATTAAGAAGAACAAATTGGTTGCTAGACTGACAAACTTCAAAGGGAAGGGGGGTGGGGGGGTGGGAAGAAATAAACCAAAGAATTTATATGCATAACCAATGGACACAGACAACAGTGTGGGAAAAGGCGGGGGGGGGGGGGGGAGGAGGGGTCAGTGGTGGAAAAATGAACATCTGTAATACATTCAACAATAAAGATAAAAAATTTTTTTTTTTTTAAAAGAAGAAAGTGGTGGAGACAGAGAAGAGTGAAAGAACAGGTTTGGCAAGGATGACAGGAGTTTGGATTTATATATAGTAAAGTCAAGATACTTCCTAGATACCCAAATTCAGATGTTGAGGAGGCATTTAGTTGTTCAAGTATAGAGTTCAGTGAAGAAGCTGAACTGGACATATAAATTTGAGAATCAGCATGTAGATGAAAATTTTTTTTCTTTTAATATGTAGTTATAAATATATTTTGTCAAAATATATGATCAATATGGTCAAAACATTTGCACGTAAAGTCATAAATAAGGTCAAGGTGAATGTTTAGGGTTTTTTCCTTTTTTGTTTTTAAGATAAAAGTCCAGCTATAAGGAAGCAGTCTGTGTAGTGTGTGGGTGAGTGGATGGGAATGTGTGTGTATGTGTGTATGTGTGTGTGTGTGTGTGTGTGTTGTATGTGTGTGTGTGTCCCCAAGGACTGTTGATCTCAGCGGCACCCACATCCCTCTACTACCATCTCCTGATAATTTTTCAGTACCACCTTGTCATACTCATCCAGGCACAGCATGGAGATGGCACTCAGTTCAGTGGGAACACAACAGGCTTTGGGGATACTGGAATTGACAGAGTTGACCAGGGTCTGCACAATTGCGTGGTTGGTTGAGTTGAGGTGGTCAGCCAGTGGAAAGGGACAGTCCCCGTGGCAGTAGAAGGCCTGGTAGCCTGGGGGGTCCACAATCCAGTCATTCCAGCCCACATCACTGAAGTCCACATAGAGTGAGTGGCGACGGCAGTTCTTATTCTTCTTCCGGGCCCACTGTGGGTGATGCTTGGGGTTACGCTTGGCCCTCCGCCGGCGGGTCAAGACATGTCCCCGGCCATCATGGCCAAAGGTGACCAAGAGGGGCCGGAGCTGGGCCCAATCTCCACTCCCTTGAGGTAACGATCGGCTAATCCTGACATGCTGGCCCTGGTGGGTCCGTGTCTGATGTAGGTGAGTCACCTCAATGGCCAGCCCATAGTTTGGCTGCTTCTCCCGGGTCCAGCGAAGGACTGCAGGGCTCACATCAAAAGTTTCCCACCACGTCACATTGTGGTGGACCAGTCTCGTGTCCAGTAGTCGTGTGATGAGGTGCCCAGGCACCAATTCTGCTGAGGGCTTCATAACCTCATAAATGTTTATTCGGTGGAAGCCCTGCTCCCGATCGGGGCCCTGGTCCACCTGTTCCCGGAAAAGTCGAAGCTCTGCGGACGAGATCACCTCGTTTCTGGGATGCTGCTGAGGTTAAAGAGGAAACGAAAAGCAGAGTTTTCGCTGGTCCCTGGGATGTTCTCCAGATGTTCTTCGTGGTGGAAGCTCCTCACGGTGTTAGCCCGACTAGCGGGGCACTCAGGGTACTCCAGAGCGATGCTGTGGATCTGCTCTTCCTCCTCCTCCTCCTCCTCCCCAGACTGGAGCCGGTGAAGATCCCGCATGTAATCCGGGATGACGGCGCTCTTGCTAGGCTGCGGGCGGCGGCGCAGCACGAACATCTGCAGAAGTGTAGCCTCGAAGTCCCGCAGGAGCTCATGGCTCTGCCCTGAGCGGCGACCTCCAGCGTGGCTCTGAATCTCGGCGACTTTTTTCTTCCCTGTCTCGGGCATCAAACTAGCATGGCTCGCGCCTCCTAGCAGGATGACAGAAAACAAGGCATGTAATAACAGTCCATGATTCTTGACAGCCAATCTGGAACAAACTTGCTGGAAAGGCTCAGAGGAGCTGCTGCAGTGTGTTGCTCTGGATGGCACTACGGAATGGCTCCATAGGTCCCTGCAGTAGCGGGCTCGCCAGCAGCAGCTCCTGGGGACCTCTGAACGGCTGCAGTGAACTTAGGCGAGGGCCGAGGACTGGGGCGCTGCAGGCTCCAGACGGCGCAGACGGGAATCCCATCAGGGAGAGAGGCGAGATACTCAGCCCGGAGCAGCCGCGGCGTCTCGGGCTCCTCCCTCGGCTCGGATGCCACACTCACCTAGCTTCTAGGCCGGGCTCCGCACTCCTTCCCTCCTTCCCTCCAGCTCTGCCCTCCTGCATCTTCTCCTTCCTCCTCTTTCCATCTCTCTTTCTTTCTTTCAGATGGAATTTTTAAGCCATGAGACTGAGGATGTGAAATACTGAATTTTAAAAATCTCTCTCATTTCAAATATATTTGTCCTAAACCCTATTCACAATTCAAAATATCCAAAATTGTTTATTTATAAGCAGAAACATATCAAGCTGTTCAGTTTGCTGTTCCAATAGTCTTTTACAATCTTCTCTGAGTGATTTAACCAAAGATGGTGAGTAAATTTATGATTACAACTTGTTCCCTGGGCAACCTCATTAAGTTCAGAATTTCACTTAAATTATTACTTTAATTGAAATTGGCCTGCCTTGACCGGCTGGTGTGGCTCAGTGGTTGAGCATCGACCCATGCACCAAGAGGTTGCTGGTTCAAACCCTAGTGGGGGCACATGCCTGGGTTTTGGGACCAATCCCCAGTGGGGGACTTGTGGGAGGCAGCCGATTGATGTTTCTATCTCCCTCTCTCTCTCCCTCTCCCTTCCTCTTTCTCTAAAAATCATTAAAAAAAAAAAAAATTGGCCTGCCTTGTTCCCTTGAAATATCAATTCCCTTAGGAAATTTCCCCCTTCTTTTGAACATGAATGAGGAGAATTCAATAGCCAAACCCAAGAAAAAAATATGGAAAGCACAAGTAACTTTTGCCACTTACTGAACATCTTGAAAATAAGACAATCACCTTGAGTTCAAGAAACTGCTTCCTTTAAGAACCTTGTTACTGCCCTGGCCAGTTTGGCTCAGAGGTTAGAGTGTCAGCCGGTGGACAAAAGAGTCCCGGGTTCAGTCCCCACCAAGGGCATGTACCTCGGTTGCAGTTTGTCCCTGGCTCAAGTTGGGGTCGTATGGGTGGCAACCACTCGATGTGTCTCTCTGGCAGTGACGTTTCTCTCTCTCTTCTTCCCTTTCCCTCCTGTTGCATCTGAAGATGGGTGCACAAATGTCCTCAGGTGAGGATGAAAAAAAGAGCCTTGTTCCTTTGTGAGTGGTGGCAGGACTTGGTGAGCCTGCTGCCAAGGTCAAGGGTGCCCCCTATGGCTCAGGTACCAAACTACTTTCAATTAAAATATTCTGAGATAAAAACATGTCTCCCTCTTATTTCAAAAAAACAATATGGTAATTCTAGAAAATTTAGATTTGCAAATAAGCAAACAGAATAAAAAAGTACCTGTAAATAATTACTGTTAACATTTTGGTAAGTAGCTATCTCATCTTTTTGCTCTATATATACACATTTTTCCTGCCCCAAATTAAGATTATATGATAGTATTTTGTCATCTACTTTATTTATTTAATCACCTGGTTACGTGAACATTATTTCAAGTCATTAAATATTTTTCTATAACATCTCTTTGTTTGTTTGTTTGTTTGTTTATCCTCACCCAAGGACACTTTTTTCATTTTTTGTTCGGATAGAGTGGGAGGGAGAGAGAGAGAGAGAAACATCGACGTGAAAGGGACACATCAGGTGGCTACCACCTGCATGACCCAATCAGGGTCGGGGACAAACTGCGACTGAGATATGTGCCCTTAGCAGGAACCGAACCCGGGTCTCTCTGGACCGCACGCCGACGCTCTAACCGCTGAGCCAAACCAGCCAGGGCTCTATAACATCTCTTAAAGAGAAAACCACAGGCCCAAAATACTGCCACTTGTGCTAAAGCCCATGATACCAAACCTAGATTTAATACTGTTTCGGTCTTTCCTAGAAATATAATCTTAATCAACCAGTCTCAAATGTCCTGGTCAATCACTAGTAAGGTAATCTGTTACATGGGCCGTCTCCATCCCCCCACATAGAAAGAAGAGGCAATTTGCAATGTAAAAACCCTTCTACCCAAAAAAGGAGTCTTGGTCTGAAAATAGTCTTTTCTTTTGTTAATAACTTCCTTGTTTCATACTTTTTCTTATCAAAACCTTCCATTTGTACAACCCCTTAGAGCACCCTACTTCTTGCAAGATGGGATGCTGCCTGATTCATGAATCACTTAATAAAGCCAATTAGATCTTCAAATTTACTTGATTGAATTTTGACTTTTAACATCTTTGTGTGTGTGTGTGTGTGTGTTTAAGTGAATTAATATGGGTTCATCAAAATTCAAGATAAATGATAAAATAGACATTTATTTCAGAGCTACATCATTTTCAACATAAGCCCATGGATCACTGTGAGCAGTTGTCTAAGACCTAAGACCTTTTTTTTTTTACTTATTTTTAGAAGTTCACTTTGAATAAAATAGTAAAAGACAGATTACAATGGTACATTGTACAAAAAAACTAGAAAATAATTTGGTGTTGACATCTGATATTTATCTTATAGATGTCCCCAGATTTACTTAACTAATCTCCAATTTTGATTATTTCTATAAATAATGTCTTGTTTATAACATCTTTGTAGATAAAGATACACACAGATACACATAAAATGCCCCAATCTGGGGCTGCATAATTCAGAAAAATGAATCTGTGTTTAGAAACAACAATGGTTACAGAAAATTCCAAAGCCAAGATCCTTAGGCCTTCATTTTGAGCTCCACTGGCTATTAATTAACTGTTGATCAATTCCATTTTAATAAATAGGCTTGCTTATTTTGTTTCTGTACACAGATTGAATGTGACAAATGAAGGGAGCTGGTAGACTTGCAGGTAGAAATCATGTTCTTTCACAGAGTTACAGGAAAGAATTTCGAGAGACCCACACATGGGAGTTTGAGGCTTCATGGTAAGATTTCAATGTAGAGCCCGGCTGGTGTGGCTCAGAGGTTGAGCGTTGACCCATGCACCAAGAGGTTGCCAGTTGGATTCCCGGTCAGGGCACATACCCAGACTGTGGGCCTGATCCCCAGTGGGGGATATGCAGGAGGCGGCCAGTCGATGTTCTCTCTCATCGATGTTTCCCTCTCTCTCTCCCTCTAAAATCAATAAAGAAAATATATTTTTTTAAAAAAGATTCAATGTAGAAGCAAAATCAAAGGACTGTCTCTGGGTTTCCAAGTGTTTTATTTCTGTCCATAGCCCCATGGAAAAAGTAAAATCTTGTCTCCATCAAGCCCAATACAATGGCCAAGGTCCAAAAGTTATGTGTCAAAAGCTTAGTTCATGTCTCTCCCCATCAGGCTAGTGTAGTCTGTTCCTGGCTAGTGCTGGGCCCAGGCCCACTTGGTCTGTGGAGCTGCCCAGCCACAGGCAGCTGCTAGGGTCACATGGTTGCTAGGGAGCGGGAACACAGGAGCCAGTGGGGTGAGCGCAGTTATTGGGGTAGAGAGAAAGAGCATACTTCTTAGACTGATTATATTATCTCAAGCTTGGGACTTACAAGGGACTTCTTCAGACTAACCAATCAACCTCCCAAGCTTTTGAAGGCTGGCACTGGATGCTCCCCTAACCGATCCATTTCCTAGATCTTTCTGGGTTTTGTCTTGCCCTCTACTGGGCATACACCTAACAGAGGACTTTCTTTTGCTATTTTTATTCCTCCTTTCTATGCCTGTTTAGGGGGATTACGTCCCCATTGCTGGAAGATGTTCTGAGGAATATGTCTGATTCCCTTTGCTCTCTTCCTTTAATAATATTTAGCTACCTATGCTAACAGTAGGGATGGGAGAATTACATTGAGGACTGGGAAGGGGAGTACATGGGATGTAGAATGGCTGGGGATTGCTATTAGTAACCTGCAAAATGGCAGTAGAAGGACACTCCCTTTTTCATCAAATATTAAAAAAATTTTTTTTTCTTTATGGACTTTAGAGAAAGAGGAAGGCAGAAGGAGAGAGAGAGAGAGAAATGTTGATGAGAGAGAACATCAATTGACTGCCTCCTGTATGCCCCTCACTGGGGATTTGGTCCACAACCTGGGTGTGTGCCCTGACCCGGAATCTAACCAGCGACCTCTTGGTGCATGGGTCGATGCTCAACCACTGAGCATCGACTGGCTGGGCTTCATCAAATATTTTTTAAGCCCTGGCTGTTTTGGCTCAGTGGTTACAGCATTGGTCCATGGACCAAAGAATTGCAGGTTTGATTTCGGCCAAGAGCATGTGCTTCGGGTGTGGTTTGTCCTTGCCCCGGTTGGGGTCCTGAGGGAGGCAACCAGTCTATGTGTCTCTCTCACATCAATGTTTCTCTCTCTCTCTCTCCCTCCCACTCTGTCTGAAGATAAATGTAAAAATATCCTCGGGTGAGGATTAAAAAAAAAAAGAAAGAAATATATGTGTGTGTGTGTGTGTGTGTGTGTGTATACACACATATACATATATGTGTGTATATATATACATATATGTGTGTGTATATATATATATGCATATATACATATGCATATATATATATAGCATATGATATGTACTAGCACTGTAAAGACATGCCTAGCTAGCTGAGGAGAGTAAAACAAATCAAACTTTACACAACAATTGAATAGGGATTAAAAATCCAATGTAGTCAACATAACAAAACTTAGATTCAATATCCCCTATTTAAAAGCTGAGTGAACTATGTAATATACAATGAAAAGATTTTCTTCCAATGCTTAAAAATAAAGTGTTGCCATTTGAATGAGAGTCAGTTACTTGGAAATTTCTTATAACTAGGATACCTCATTGCCTAAAAATGCCATTTCAGGGTATTTTTGTTGTTGTGAGTATTACAAATGTCCCTCATTGCCTCCTTCTCCACCCTATTGTTTGTGTCCTTGGTTTATGCATATATGCATATAAGTTCTTTGGTTAATCTCTTTTCGACCCCCTTCCCCTTCCCTTTCCCCTTCCCTCTGAGATTCATCAATCTGTTCCATGTATCCATGCCTCTGTTTCTATTTTATTCACCAGTTTATTTTGTTTGTTAGATTCCACATATAAGTGAGGTCATATGATACTTGTTTTTGTCTGACTAGCTTATTTCACTTAGCATAATACTCTCCAAGTCCCTCCATTCTGTCTCAAAGGATAAAAGATCTTTTTTTTCACAACTGCATAGTATTTCAT